AAACCGTATATTAAGCATAAATAAATAAATAAAACTTAAATAAACAGGGCGTAAATGGACTAAAATAAAGACTAAACAGAAATATACAGAAAAATATGAAGTACAGATATTAATTTGTTGGTCGTTAAGCGAATTTTGTGCTCGCAGCGATAAATCAAGAAAAAGGTAAGGGGTTTGATTGTTTAATGTAAAACCCAAGACTAGTCACTAAAATTGCATAGAAAGGCAGTTAATAAAACCCCTCTAATCCCAAGTGAATGGTATTTATGAAAGAGTAAGGGGTGGTGCCTCAATTATATATTTTGTTCTATATGCCATTTGACGGTAATCTTAATTTTGAACCATGGCTCTTATTGGTGCATTGGTTCATTAATGTGTAGAGAGCAGGAGAGGAGACCCTCATCCGCTCCATTGATTCCGATTCAATGCAGGTTTGACGCAACTGGCTGCAAAGCAGCATTCTCCTGGGGATCGTCGTCATTAAAGTACGAGCAACAGAGCCCTACCGTACTCATCAGATGGCATTCAAGCTGCAGTTTGAAACTTTCCTCTGTCGGTGCATCAGAAATAATCTCCGGTAGGCTGTTCAAATTAGTTACTGCATAAATTGATAGGGCAGCCCCTGGAGGAACGTGAAGTATTCTGCTGTTGTACAACTTCTACTTGTGGTCTCGTGTCGAGCCGGCCACGTTGAGCCGAAAGTGCTTTTGTACCTCACTTCTAAGTTCTCTTCTTAGTATCCGTCTGGTGTAGATAACATCTCCACGGCGCCGACGCTAATCGAATGGAAATATGTTCAGCTTTTGGAGCCGAAAAGTGTCAGCAAGTTCTTGTAGCACCATGACGGATTTCCAGCCACGCCTCTGGATTCTCTCTAGCAAGTCGCATTCAGATTTTAAAAGAGAATAGGTATCTGTTAGCCCATACTCTAAAATCTGGCGGATATGTAATGTGAACAGATTTCTGAAAATTACCAGAGTGCTACGAGCGAAACGCCCTCGGTAAAGCACCCAGTATCCTGTCTGAAACCGCGCCATTTCTGTGAGTGTCATGAAAACTCCTAAGGTCATGTGACATGATAACCTCCAGATCATTCTCGCGCAGAGCATTCTTGTGAAGATATTCATCAATGTGTTATACACCAAATGAATCCGGGTTTCCAGTCGGAAAAACTGCACATTTGTTGTAGTTAACGAATGGTTGCTACTTGACGGACCAATCGTGCAGCTGGTCCAGCTACGTTTGGAGTCTCGCCGCGTCCTCTATACTAGCTACTTCTGAACATAGCTTGAGAACATCAACCTAGACTAAGCAGTCGGCTTGAAGAGTTACAGGGAAGTCATTAATGTAGAGCTTGCAAAGTTCCGGCCCAAGGACAAAGCTTTGTGGGACTCTGTCAGTCATAGAACCATAGCAGACAGCGTATGGTTCACCTTCACTTGAGGAGTCCGATCTTTCAGTAAGTCCGCAATCCATGCACGGAGGATTCCGGTGCCGTCAATTCCATGGAGTTTGGCATAAAGCGTCTTTTTAACTTGTAATTATCTCAAACTTCACTTCTAATAACAATTTAGATACAATGGGAAAATCTCATTAATTTGCTCAGATAATGCAAAGCCAAGTAAATAAATCCGCACAGCTGGTGGTAAACGCGCTAGGATTGAAGTAGTAAGAGCTTTACAATCATTCACTTTATGTTACGTTATTTATCTAAAACAGTGAAATGCTTAGCTAAAACACAGAAACCTTTCTTCTGCTGTCCAACCTTAACGATTACGAGCGAATAATTGAGTACTTTATTTAGCTGTCATTCATACGTTTTCCTAATCTAGGGGCTACTTGCAAACTGTAGTAGAAACAAAACTAGCTTTTCTAAATGGTAAGTAGTACATAATTAGCCATTTTATTATCAAAATATAGAATAGATATGTAGCCATGGAGTTGCGGTCCATAATTTTAGTCTAGAATCGGGGATGCATTGTGCGATGCGTATTTTATTTTATAACGTGTAACCTAAAGGGTGACTTGAAGCAGCAAAATGGTGTGTTGGTAAATTCCAAACAGTTAGATTTATATATTTCCCATCATGTAAACATATGGTTGACTTCAATTGCATCTACACACTTCGCCTTACTTTCACCAGATTCAGACCACCATCTTTGTTAGCCGTTAAATATCATTTTGTACTAGGGTTCCTTTGTTTATGCCCATGATAGCTCACGTATGTTTTGCATATAAAAAGTTGCTCATGCTTAACCAACTGACTTATTCGGCTAAAGAGATGTACGCCTAAAAACATATGTGTAAGGTGTTTGAAACTTTCATTTGTAGTTAATGGAAGAAGCATGGCTTTATCGGAACATGCGGTGCATGTTAATTAAATAAATCGGAAGTGTTTAGAAAATACTTACTTATGAAGCTTGAGATAATTTCTAGGACTTTAAAGGCATAATCCATATTGGACGATGCCAAGTTTTGTTGGGAATGATTAAATACTGCTAGATCTTAGTGAGTATTAGGGGATTTGTTGCGTGTTTTACAATTTGACTCAGCTTTCAGTCAGACACTTCTAGATCGATATACAATTATCAGTAATTTGCTGATTCTTGAGAACTGCCAAGTTGAAACTGCTCTTGACAAACATACCGAACTGACTTCTCACTCGGCATGCGGGTTGCCAGCTGTAACACGCTAACTGCTGAAGTCATACAAAACAACCTAATGGCTGACTATAATAAACAGCAGCTTTTGAACTAAGCAGGCTATCGCAGTGACATCATGTGCGTTGACAAGGCTGTTTTTGTTGTTAATAATACTTTATTCTGCTCATATTTGGGCTGATGTGTTTCCGCCTACAACAAGCGATTTTGATTGAGTTAAAAGAATAACTTGTTTTGAAAATCTTCAGCACTATAAGCGGAGATTTTCCGTGCTGCATGGTTTGATTAGAACAGCGTTGGAACTCTCCACTTTCTCTTGTTGTTGAGAAAGCGATCATTCAGATACTAGTATTAGACATTTCGATACATATGGGAAGTGTAAAGGAAATCGGTCATGGTTCTACACTAAAACGGCGGTCTTGATAAGCCAATTGGTTTTAAAGATTGCTTTGTGGAATGCATGTTGAACTGCTAGTAAAACCTCGTAGATGCTTGTGCAAACTAGTTACAAACGAACTGACATAAAGTGAACCCTTCAGTGATTTTTACGTCATGTTGTCCCAAGCAAGTTAAACGCGTCGGTCTACAATAGTATTTTTATCTTAAGCTTCAAAAGGGCAATCAGGTTGTCTTAGACTGATGATTTTAAATAACCATGAAATTAGTCCCGAGTGGATAACACAAGAGTTGGGATGCACTTATATTTGCTAAAAGTAAATCACCTTATCAATATAAAACAGCACAAAGTTTAGCTTTAGCGGTGTTTATTAATATAAACAAAGTAAGTCTATCATGCTTGCTTTCAGTTAGCTTGAATGAGGTGCCTGCTTACCATCGGCGGTATCTATCGTTCCAAATCTCCCTGAAGTTCACAACAAAAGTACGAACGTAGTTGAGAACATTTTAAAAGATATTCGCATTACGCTTGCATTATTACAAACAATTTTAGATATTTGTAAGCACCCAGGTTAGTATTACATAGGTTGGCCAAATTAAATAAAGGAATAATTGTGTGTAGGGGTCTATAAAATAAGTCAGGCATACATTTTTAAATGAAAATTACACATATATTGAATGAGAGCTAAGTGACTTTATATAAGGTTGCATATCTGGTAAAATAATTAGACAAAGATTATATCATTAAAGCTTGTGCACAGCTGTTAACTTAAATTGAATAAGATGCATTAATACTTGTGAGCAGCGAAGAAAGTTATCAGCAGTAGGCGTGTAGCAGTACCGACGCTTCGCTGCCGCGCCCCCCCCCCCGTCAACCATCGCACGTGGGTTACGGATACTACGATGGTCACCCAGTCCCTACACAGGATCAAACTCGCGTTCTCGGATTACAGGCCAGTCATGTAGTTCGAGGGAATACAGACCTGTAATCATTGCCAGTAACATTTAACTTAATCGGTGTTTTCAGAATATCACATATTAAACGCTCTAATAAAGGATCAAGGGACTGCAAGCTTAACTCTCCATAATTTAGCATTTAAGTTGTATTCGTCTTATTGTTAAATTTTTTGAAATAACTAACGTAAACTAAAGTTGTTTCTTTCTTTTATCCGCATGTTTATTTTGAAAGGGAAGGTATGCCATATGGGCAAAAATAAATCCTGAAACTAGCATTGACTCATTAGAACAAATCAATATGTATGGCACTTACTATTGGTTGTGAAGACGAAATCCGCTAGAAAAAGGATAAATATAGAACATAAAGAGAGTCATAATTTGTTTTCATTCTCGATATCCGCTGTTTTCAATAGCACTGAGACAATTGCAAACGGTTCCACTAGTAGGATTTCTCACACACAATGCCAAGTCTGAAAGCTGCCGGTATGGCTTCATACGACGGGTTTCAGATCAAATGAACGATAAGATATCTGAATAGTATTAGAGAATGATAGCTTGTGACATTCGCCGGAAAGAGTGTTACAAGAAATAGTGTTTCAATAATTTGTCAAACAGTCAGTAAGCTGTAAACCGAAAAATATTTTGAGTTGCACATTCAGTAAATGACACCATCATTCACAGATCCGTCTGCGAAATATCGTACAAACAATCTTTTTGGCAATAGGAAAGCAAAATATTTATGCTCATTGTTAATAGTTGCTAGGAAGCATAATTACCAATGCGGTAGTCAAATTAACGAATCCTGGCTACGACGAAAATTTGTCAACTATAATTAGTTTATCCCCAAGTCCAATACAGTTCGGTTTAGGCAAATAATAGTAATGCATCCTAAGATATTTAACTAGCTTTATTATATGAATTTTTGTGTCCCATCTGCAGAAACGTTTAAAAATGGACACTGAATCAAGGAAGTTAGATATTCTTCAATCACAACTGCACATCATTGTTAGTTTTCAATTGCTTTGATATCTTACTCCCAGTCATCATAATGTCCACTGAATTGAGAGAAAATGAAAAATTTTGTGCCTGAATGCTAGTCACTCTCAAAATATCTCATAATGAATACATTTCCTAGGCAACGGTTGCTGTTTTTCATGTTATGTAGCGCAATTTTAATAGTTAATAAAATGCCCTATTTTCGTAAGCTGTTTGTTGTGATATAATTGTCGGTAAATGACAAGCTGTTTCCTTTTACCACTCTTAAATTCTTTAACAGATTATTTCCTTAAATATTCAGAAGAAGTATTTGGTGCGCATATTTATAGTTTACATTTGGACGCAGTAGATTTTAGATCCTTGAGTAACAGAATTTCACTCGTATTAATCCTTGTTTTAGATAAATATTTTTAAATTTTACTCTTATTTGGACTTTGTTAAAACCGTTTCTGGCTGCCCTAGGCTAGATAAAACGTTTAAACAATTTATATCATCAGTAGCGTTGGTCTTAGGCAAGCACACAATTTTTAATTTCTAGATGAGTCGACAACCCAAGTTACTTCTCGGCTAATTGCGAATGAAGCAAATAGTAATTTTGTTTTCAATTGTAGTTTATGTACACATTGTTCCTATTTTAGCATCTATTCTAGACTTACACTGAGCATCTTAAGAATTAGCTTCATACCTTAATATATATGTCATTGATTCCTCGTGAATATGCACAGTTTATGAATACTAGCAAAATGTGGCCAGCGACATCTATAGTAATAGTGATTTTCAATGTTTGCTGTACGGTTAAATGAGCTATAATGAAACACGGCGCATTCAATGCCATGCAACTTAACTAACTTGAAATAGAGTATTTGGAAAAGCATAGTATGCAATTTTTGACATAAAGCCCCAGTTTTTAAGGACTATAAATTACATCGTTCATTATAACTATGTTTCAAAACAAGCGTTATATGAATGGAATGCCAATGGATGTATCAAAGTGGACCACAATTCACTTTTAAAGTAAATTTGTTTACTCTCAATCAATGGAGCCGTATCTGAATCAGGTAAATTTTGCACGGGGACCGTTTACACCAACATGAGCGGAAATAATTCAATCAATCTTCAACGTCCAATCATTGAACTAATATGTTTCTAACCTATTACACTGAGCGTCGGGGTTTGCGAGTATGCGGTCACTAATATCTCCGGGGATGGATGTAGTGCAACAGTAAGAATAAGGTCACCCAGCAATGCATAGAAACCAATTCCTTACTTTGTTCGAGTGATGCCCTTCCTAACAACATATGATAACAGCAATTACGTCATTAAACTCGATTGAATCACACATTTTGCTTGGTTAAGTTTAAATACTAGTACAAGTTTAATTTCAGCACGAGCTATAAAACATAAGATAACATCCATTATAGAAATACTCGCGTTTGAGAAAACGAGGCAGCTTTTAGTATATTATATACCACCTATTGCTTTGTCCACGTTAATCCCTACCGCAGGAATCTCATGTGAATGGCTACTTTGTAAATATACAATAATTCGGAGGTTTGTAGTAATTACGTTAATTTATGGCAAATTATGCGAAGTTATCGAGGGATAACATTCAAAAGCCGTGGTATTTATTTAGCTAGAAAGGCTGCTACTAATTGTGTGATTTTAGTTTGCTCGCTAAAATCGACTTGTACAAAGCCGTAGTCACATTTCAAGTTCCTTATATAAAAACTACCCAGGCATATGGTACTAAGTTTTTTCGAATATAATCCCGTGGTTAAGCACATTTAACGAATATCTCTCAAATAAACTCATGTAAACAAACTATTCGTTTTGCTACTGCACTTTCGTGCTCGCCATAGTAGGATAGCACGTTATAAAAAGCAATTCTATTTTCACTGGAATGTCAACATTGGCATATGAGGTAGACAAGTATTAGACAACCAACGGAAAATTTCTATATGTTTTGGTCCATGTGGTTACTGAGGTGTGCTTCTTTGCTAAAGTATGGGAATATATATTTTATATGCTTGGTAGATTAATGTATAGAACTTCTCAATGCACTTACTCGCTTTTTCTAAAATTATACACGGTAGCAAATTCTTTTCAAAACTAGTTTGATTTAAGCGCTGTAATCGCTGTAAAAAAACCATTCAACAAAGAGTACTTGTCAAGCAAAAAACATTAACTGTCATATGCAAACATTTTATAAACATTATAAAAGATGGTTTCACGTCCTTTTTATTGCACTTTTTTAAAAACAAGCCTCCGAACAAATACCAGTAAGACCGTAATGCATAAATCTATGAATACACTATGGTAATATTGCCCATTTTCGTAATATATTTTTAACAAAATCATGATATCTGTGATATAAATCATCCTAATTAGGAAGTCGAATATTTTTCAGAGCTAAGATTTGAAGAATACAGAAACAATTTTTTCTTCAGCGCAATGCAAGCCAATGACATGCATGAGCGTAACTAGTGCATATGATGCACTGGTATCTCGGGTTGATCATTCATGTGTTCACTTGTTCACCGAGCTTCGTGTTTGGTATGCAAGCGTTGCGTCATTAAACGAGGTGACTTCCTTAGTGCGCTGCTGTCTTGGTCGTCGGTTTGTGATCAACCAGCAAGTTTCTTTAGGACTGACCTCCTCCATCTGTGTCCGGCGACTTTCATCCGTCTGCTCAACTACTCTGGTAAACACCGACCATCTGAGGGATGGTTTTGCCCGGCTGTTGCATCTGACTTCGTTGGATCATTTAGCTACAAACGATGGTTGTTAAGCTGTTTTAATTCTATCCCATGTAGTGTTTGATAAATCGGGTCAATCTCGATGTGGCTCTGAGTGTTTCTTGTTAAGCCGCCCATATAGATCCCAGTTTTCACATGGTTATAAACGTATCTAAAATAAGCTATGCGACTAAATACAATTAAATTTAAAGTATAGTGCTTCTATTATCAGAAGTCGCTTAGTATCTGAATTGCGTAACGTAAAATAAGCAATAGAATGACAAAAGAAACTTTAACAGATTTTTGGCACATTCATACACGTGAACTACTTTTTACCCGCTATGTATTTGGCCCCATTTACCATTAGATTTTCGGTAATCTGGTTAGTTGTTTCAGTGAGAGCAGTGTGTAAAAACATCTATAAAATTGAAAAAATGCCATCTTAGAGCTGGGGCGCTTTGTATTCGGACCCTTTCTAAGGTGCTGACCAGGCGGATCTTCCCTATATTTAATAGTATGTAACATGTCCAAGTTGCTCTTTGAACATGTCTAAAGATAAGTGTTATCACTCTTTTCCACTCCAATATATTCCTGGTCACTACTTTTATAGCTGAACAAAGCTCAGACTCAGTAATATGCTAGTTACTTTAATTGAATTCGAACGTTTACGGTACGTTATCTGGATGCTTCCTACACATAAGGAGGACTTTTAAAGATTTTCATGTTAATGATATTTAGCATCTTTCTAAGCAAACAGATCACGTATTAGCCTCCTTGCGCAACAATATGAGAATATTAATGAAATGTTGCTACGAACTAGCACCCGCTTGCACTACTGATTTTGTGATTCGACTTTGTTAACCTGTAGAAAAGAAATTCTTCGGTGTAAAACAGGTTTTGACAAAGTGTGTAAAGTTTATGTATAGGCAGTTTAAATTTGTAGGAGTAATAACAATATGTAACGCAAAGCTATATTAAAACCAAGGCGTATTTCAACTTAACAGTTACGTTTACTAGCATAAATGCAAAAGCATTTCATCTTTTAATAACCTTGTTGGCGCACAGTTTAATTTTGACCTTTGGCCAATGAAAATTAATAAACTAATGCGCATCCAATTGAGGCGCGTATACAAAATAACGCAAAATATGTTTTAGATGAATAGTCAAGGCATGGCATTGTGTGATCCTACATGAGCCAATGAATCAGAAGGGAGTGATACAGCTTTAGTCGTCTCAAGCGACTCACCCGGCAATACATGGGGATCTGCAGCATATGATAGCAAAATACAACAAGGAACTTTGGAAAGATTAACGAAATCATTGCAGAATGCACAAAATTTTACCCGTACTGATAGATGACGACATAGCAGTTAGCGTACATAATGCATTAAAGAGAGCATTAACTCTAAGAACTAATGTTCTGCTTAATAATGTAGTCATAATCATTGTAAATGTTTATGTTAATTCGATTTGTGCTTAACTTGGCAATTCGGTACCCAAAGCTGTTCGCCTAAGTCACAATAGGTATTTCCTTGGAAAGCTTGGTGAACAACAACTTTAAAAATAAACTGTCCGTTTCCAAGCAATAATGTTTGATCACTTAATGACAACTGAATCGACCTCAAACTATTCGGTTTCTGGTATTTGGTTAACGTGTCAAGGTAGGTAAATTGCGCTTAAGGATTGTAAGCAGACTGTGCCTGAGTTGGTACCTATTTTCGGGAGAAGCGGTAAAAGTCAAGTATTACCTGCCTTTGTCATTTTGTGAATTTGAATCCTAGACAATACTTCGGTCAATGGTAGGGCTGGTAACTCCATGATATTTGAGACTGACGGGTGACAAATACACGAGCAATTGGTGCCCTCACACTACTATGAATTGTTTTATTAAAAGTGGACTTCTTTGCACATAGTGGCTACCCTGTATTTTATGTCGGCGAATGAATTATTAGGACTAATTTATTGGTCAGGTTTTCTCAGTTAATTTGGGAATGCTGCGGAAGCGTAAACATTTCTTTTAAAGGATTTTATTGTCACATTTATCACTTCGTTGCGTGACAACATAAAAAGATGTACAGTGAACTGACTGTTCTAACTTCCTTCGGTGCGCAGACAGTTTGGATTTTTCTTTGCATGCAACCTGGTGCTACTTTAACCCTGGTACATGAATCGAAAAAAGGAGCAATGATATTTTAAACATGCGTAATCCCCGTCCATCAGGCTTGAAGGTAGCTTAGGTGAGGCATTTATCCAAATAATGATGATATTTATAATACTGCAACTGCGTGTTATTTTATTATAACCCGGCTTCGTGCGGATAGTTAGCGCACAATCACACACGGTAATTTTATAAAGTGTTTTTATGCACTGTAGATGATAGCAGTTTACTCGTAATGAGCTGCGCACCATATCCTTTCCTGTTTGTTGTCTGTACAGATTGTAAATGAAAAATTGCCAGTGAAGTAAAACTGCCTGATTTTTGTTCTTTTCATTTTAAGGATGAAAAATGCTTAGCAAATTTAGCATGTACATGTCCCTTTTTATTGCAAACTTATGTTTGTAGAATGCAAAATGTGTTGGAATTGGCGAGATAAAATAATAATATGCTATAAAATCGATGACATGCTTACCTCCTGATAAACTACCTTCAACCCACGAAGCATCAGAGTTCTCTGTAGGAAGTGGTGTAGAGCGTTTTCAAGGTAACAAAGCAATTACGAAAGGGGAAAGAGAAGCACCGCAATATCAAAGCACCATCAAATATTACTGCATGAAAAAGTTGTCTACAACAATCATGAACTGTCAACCTCATGCATAACTTTTGGCGAAAACCTGAGGTATTATTTACTGAAAGAAAGCTACAGCGCAACGAATGCGTCACCTGGTTGTTAGAATAAATTTCTGTTCTGTTGTAACTAATCAACCGCTTACTATTTTTAGCCTGAGAGATATTGACTGTAGATGCATATTCTTTCTGTAACTTTTCAGCTGAAAGCATAAAAAAAGAAGTAGCTATTAACCGATAACTTGAGAACATTCTATAAAATAAGAGCTTGTTGTTGGTGTGTCAATAGCTTTTCTCTCTCAAACATGCTGCATAATGTAAGTGGTGTCTTATCAACAATCATGAGTTTATGTAACGTTAGTAAATAAAAGAAAGAACTTATTTGCTAGAAAATATGCTTATTACCAGATCTAGAGCTCAGTAACCGATAAAGGTTGCATCTAGGATACCAAATAATATTTTCTAACCTAAACGTTGCGAATTGATTATCTAGTTAGTTATCATTTAATAAGATGTAATTGTGAATCGCACAACCACCAAAGCACTGATTCATGGTAATATATCTAAGTGCATTTGAAAGACAGTACAAAGAATTGACAAAGGAAGGTGGTCCATTGAAAAGAACCTAAGTTATAGACTGCAAATTTTCTAAGCCTGCATAAATGGCTGTGCAAATACTCTATGCGATGACATATATTTCCTATACAATAAATGTGCAATTTTATGAATTGCTACGAACGGTTTGAAGGGATTGGGGAACCGCACCTTCCGGCATTTTCCATTTTACTACAGATGGCATTACTCATAAACCGTTAACATAGACGGAAGCGCAAAATAACCAACTGTGAGCTATTAAAAACCAAGCTTGAGTTGTATACTTATTGGCAATTAATTGGATTTCGCTCATAATTTTGTTCTAAAGCCGTCGGTATATCTCTATTACATCATTTATTTCTCACGTGTTGATGTTTGGTATCTTGCATTCGGTTCAACGCCGTGTTTTCGATTAATTGTGGCAGAGTTTCTGACCTACCCCTAGATCATAATTTGGGTTTATGTTCGCAACCATTTCCGGTTGTTCGGAAGTTGGAAAGCAAATAATATCTCACGCATTATACAAAAAGGTTATGGAATACGAATGCTGATCTTATAATTAAGACGTATTTCAGTTATATGGGTAATAAGAATGTTTCCCCACAAAGTTTGAGAGATAATGCACAAGGAATAGTTAGTTTACCATTAAAATATTCACAGATATAAAGGCACGTATTGATATCCTGCTTGTTGCATATAGCTCGTACAGTTCGAATCTCATGCTCCGGAATTAAGCCGGAAAAGAATACAGGTAGTGCCAAGTAAGATGGTCCTGGCTCGTTCCAACTTTAGTTTGGTTATGGAGAAAATTCAGCAGATATTTGTTGTGAAGTGCCTCTGTTCATCTTTCGTTCGTCCCAGGTTGATTTATTCCAGATTTTCACTCCAAATGTTTCATCAAAATCCCGCCGACGCATCAGTACTAAAAATTCGCCCACATCATTGAACGCAATACGTATATTACTGTGTGATTTTAGTCGAAACCTTGTGAGGCCAGCCACTGTTCTCTGCAATGTTAGTAACCTGCATGACAGTGTCGGATATGCCGCGCTAAATTACATTAGCTTGCAAGTTACCATGGTCTCCCTCATGGTTTATTCGCATTAAATGCTGGTACCACTCATGGATTCGGTTCCCTGAGGGTGATTAATAAAACCCACACCGCTGGAGAAATTGGGGCCTGGTGATTTTTGCGGTATGAAGCTTAGACTAGTTAGCTTCTGATTTGCTTATGCGAGCCTGTTACGTAGTGAAACACATTGAATATGAATGAGTATGGGATATAATTGAGGGCAAAGGGTGTTGATGAAATAGGGGGGCTGCTCACTGTCGCAGAATATCTCAAGGGCTAAAAGTGCAAAGTCGTAGATGCAAAATAAGGGATACTATCAAAAATAAACGACACCTAGTGACACGTGTTAAAATGAGGTAAGCATACCTAGTGCCTTAATGTCAAGTAGGGCTAAAAATAAAAATAAAGATGGACTTTGAACGGCTGAATTACTAAACGTTACAGCAGCAGTATCGTTTGTATAAGGCAAAACTACTGACATGGCTTTTACATATCTTAAAAATCAAGTAATGTTAGCCACTTACCACGTTGTAATGCTGCATAAAAACAGGAGTATACGGTAGTTATTTTAATTGTAATATTTGAGCGTAAAAAACCGAAAATGAATACGTACTAACAATGGGGTTAATATCCTCCATGCAATGTTATCTAAGTGCTTATCAGGGTATTTATGACAGCGTGAAACAAGTGCGAAATCCAGAGTCTAATATCGGGAAATTTTACGGTCTATCACAATCGTTTAGTCCTACGAGTTACTGGCTTTCGTTTGCCAGCAAAATCTACCATTATAATAACGTTTGTTCTTGGTGCAGATAGCGCCCTGGGAATGGACAAAAGTATGTTGCTTGAGTCACCACAGTCCAGAGGCTGCCCTCAGCATTTTAGAAAGTGCTTCAGTGACACAGACAATGAGACTTGTTAACCAACAGTTAAAATTGCCGACCTTAATAATTATGTCGATAAACTACTCTCACACCGTGAATTTTACACCCAAATACGTTGCTGTCTCTGGAAAATTGCACACTGTCATATTCGTTGATTTTGATACTCCAGATGTTTTCGTGAAGTAGGCCATAGTAACGTAAATAATTATCTGTGTAACAGAAGATGGGGCGGTAGGCGGAATGATTTTTTGAATTAATCTGGGTATGAAAATATCTTACGAGTCACTGGAGCTTCGTAGCTTTAAGTCTAGGAGAACCGTTCAAGTTATACTTGAGAAGAAAACGTCGATGTAGTTTGGTCTACCAAAAGGCCAGGACAAAACATTTTGGTTTACCTCAGTCAGTGTAGAAGTTTTGGTCAAGTTCCCGCCGAACAGGAAAACGAGGAAGCTCAAACAACGGGTCAGGGTTACACCCAATGTAGCTGAACCGTGTTTGAATATACAAACAAAGCCCTATAAATATAAATTGTATAGTCTCGTTTGTAACGAGACACGCCTGTGACGGCATATCCAGGTAAATAACTCACTTTCTAATTCAACCACCAAAATTGCTCGAAAAATTTACAAATGTTAAAACACAGTGTTGCAAAGAGATCTCTTTTCGGCAGTTCACATCAGGCAAATACAATTACAGGACTGTAAAATGCATTAGTAAACTGGTGCAAGTAACAAAGAGGACGGATGGGACAATTTGAACAGCTTTAGTATGTTCATTTGATGCTCGAATCGATTTAATCAGGTGACATCGTGATCGGGCTAACCAACAGCTAAATAACTTGTGTAAACAGAAAGGGCAAAATTACTAACCAAATAAAATTAGTTAATTACGCAAATGAATAGCACCCGGTTAAGCGAGATACTCCGGGGAACCTTATCATCAGGGCCATGGCAAAGTCAAGGGTTGCACGAGCACCCTATGCTTGCATAGCTCTGGTTGTGTTAGCCTGATCGCGATGGCTTCAGCTGTCTGCAGGAGGCGTTTCCTTAGCCCTTTCGGGTATCGCCTCGGTACGGCATAATAGACTTTGAAAGCATCTTTTGTCAGAATCTGATGCCCACTAAGAATCAGATGCTCCATAATTGAGCTGTTTATACTTCTGTGCATGCCTATCCGCAATGACCCTGGACAATATTCAGCCATTCGTACCGATAGACGCCTGGTCGTATGCCCGAGGTACTTTGCACCACAGGTGCAAGTAAACTGGTAAACAATGTACGATTCTGACGACACTGGCAGTCTGTCTTTAAGGCGTTGAGCTATGAAGGGAGTGGTCTCTGCAACTACATGTGGTTTTGGCGGCCGGGTAGGTTCTTGCTCCGGCATTATAGTCTTCTGTTCAGGAGATCGAAGGCGATATCTCCCTTAAAAGGAACAGTGAGAAACACATCCTTCTTCGGAACCGTTGCTACGGGCTTATCCCGCTCACGGGTCATGGCATGCTTTTTGATGAAAGGCTCTGGGTATCCATTCGCAAGAAGTGTTTTCACAACTCGGTCCTTCTCATCTTCGAGAGTTTCGGGACTACAAATTTTGGTGGCCCGGTAATTCAAGCAACGTACTAAGTTGCGTTTGTACCTTAGAGGGACAAAGCTCGAAAAGTGTGTGCACTGTCCTACCCAAGTAGCTTTGCGGAAGACTCTACGCTCAAGTGATCCGTCCTCGCGCCTCCTCAACAAAACGTCCAGAAAAGCCAGCTTACCTTCATTCTCCATTTCACTAGTGAATTTTATTAAGGAGTGTGCACTGTTGTATTTGCCTGATGTGAACTGCCGAAAAGAGATCTCTTTGCAACACTGTGTTTTAATCTTCCATGGGCGTTATTTACAAATGTACCAAAGTACAACTCAGGCTATCTTCACCTGATAAGTCCAAACCAGGACGAAACCGCGGTCGTGGTATGCTAGTGTTGGAAAGAGCAACACCCAAATATTTCCATTAATGAAGTTCTGTTTTCAACTTTGATAGGTATCTAAGTTACGTGCTGTTGCACAAAAGGTCTATGTCGGGTTTGGTAGGTCGCTTGAGCATATTAATACGGAAATGGATACAGAAAGTGTCAAGTTTCCATCAGCACAGTTAATAGCTGCATCGTTCATGGCAATTTAGAAGTATAGAATTCTGGTAATGGCACTCACATGAACTCTGAAAAGGAGTACCTATAATAGAGAAAATTAAGTGTAACCTGCGGGAAAGTTTTAGGAACAATGACATTCAAGACGGGTAATAGGATGGTGTGTTTGTTTCACTTCCTTGCGCATAACACGCTTGTAGGTGACGAATTTGTCGTTGACAGAGGTAAGAGAGAGAAAGAAAGATGATGAGTATCGGCGTTTAGTATTGTCAAACTCTCCTTCTGTTAGAGACTAGTTTTTGATTATAAACTCCCTGGACCTTGTTCTTATGCTTGGTTGTTCATTATGTGATATCCCAATAAATAACTACAATTTTGAACCAACAAGTATTTACTGGCACTCTTTTGAGATTTCTGCTATGAATTGCTGGCACGCATATCGATTGGCAATTTCTTCCAGATTCATGCGTACCTGTTAGGGAAGAAGTAAATGGATCTGCCGGTTCTCGATCTGACTTCCACTACCGAATAGACCTTATCTCGTATGATGTATGATGGTGGTTTCCATTTGCTCACTCTCAGACAACAGGCTGTGGCTAGTATAGAAAAGCACCAGACCCATGTTAAGGTTGGAAACTTGCATTCTCTTGTGCAGCATGCCATTTGACTTAATCAGATGGGATCAAGCTTGCTTTTCTCACAACCTTCGAACTATGCTACTTTTGATGAGGTTCCAAATTAGCACTTTGTGAATGTCCGGCGTACATGTTCCGGTACAACGCGATCTCACTTGTTTGCCTTACTTTCTACCAGCCAGCAAAATTCAAAAAAGACGAGAAAGTGATGAATAAGCGCACAGTACAAATAGGGTTACTTTTAACATTCTACATAACATTCCAATGTTTTATCTGGTATTTGCAGTGACGTAAACTACTTGTTCACAGAAGTTATGCGAGCTCAAGTATCTACCTCTACTTTTGAATAAAACATAAACAACGCGAACGTCCATACTTAGTGCTTATGCAAAAAGAAATGCATCTTCAGCCAGAATAAAAATCATTGCACTCACTTGCAATTTTAAGCAACCGGATAGAATCGGTGCTATCGCAATCAGGTGCATGGCGCAAATGAGTTGCTTCAATAATTATCCGATTTGCTGAGCGGTACCCACCAATTCAAACCCGATGTTTGATTCATCCTCCTGATATTTGGTCAATGGCACTACATTCCAATACTACTGGAAGCCACGGTACTCGCTTAACATTAGCCATTATTGTTTGTGCAGAAATAGCTAAAGTTGCTTTGCTCCTAGCAAGGTAGCTCAAACCGCACGCAATGACCAACGATGGCTTTGCTGTCTGCCTCGAAATACGCTTTATCTATATCTATCTTTGGATCGCCAGTGGATTCGGACGATTTTAGTGTCAAACATGGGAAGTATGGACGGGCGGCCGGTAGGGAAATGCAATACTGCGAGAGTTAAAACGCAACCAGCATTGTAGCTAAGATGATGATACGTATATTTAATTGCAGCTAGTTTGTTTACTCTGTGGTCAAAGTTGTGTTGGTTCTATAAGAATATGCATTCAAAGAGGCGTACAGGAGAAGATCAACGTAAGGCTAAGCTATGGGAGAGGGTTAACTGGACAGTATTCCTTTACAGCTCATAAAAGCAAACTAAGACATTCTTATAATTAATCGCTACACCAATTGCCCAACATAATAAGAGAGATTGGGCTGTTAACATTAGAGGCGAAATTTCAAAAATATACTAACTGCGCGCTGCACAGCTATTTCGATGGATCTTATTTTACTGCTGGGCTATCAAACAAGTAATAGTTATTAATGGCAGAAAAAGCTAATAATTTATTATTATCCAAATTGCCAATAAACCATCACTTAGTTCCAGAAGACTTCAAATTTCATAAAGGTTTCTAGCATGAAGAATGTTACCCACCTAGAGTATTACACATTATTTCCAGAAAGCATAGACTAATTACTATACCGCAAAGTTAAACATATGAATTATACCCTATTCAAATATTTTCGTACTACAGAACCGACCGTTTCGCTTGGTAATGAATCGTTGTTTCGTCTGAAGTTACGTGTCGCAATGCCATCTCCCAGTGAGTAATTAAAAAGCTCTCTAAATTCTTGACGTTAGCAAATCTGTAAAGTAATGGATGGTGTTAACAATGAGTCCACGAACAGGAACGGCCTAAGAACCGTCCGGACAATGATATAATGATTTTATTAAAGAACTATCACTTTTTTACTGAACAGTAGTCCTACGTTTAATTTCAGAGGACATGCTTACTTTTTTTCGCGCGCTTAGGTTCTGTAGGGACATGAATTCATAAAGACATGAAGAAGGAGCTCAAATGAATTAATCACATTAAAGAGGTAGATTAATGACCAAATTTTCTGTAAAGTACATGATAGCCAACTAATATCTTCGGATAT